CATGGCCGAGTGCCCCGAAAACGCGTACAACATCAATGTGTGCGATTTCTTACGATGCCCAGTGGTTCCACAACTTTCATCGCATGCGACCACGCTGGCCTCTCGCGCGCGCAGGTCCGGCTCATGCGAACGCCCTTTTGCGGGCTTGCTTGGAAGCACGACCCCTGCCAACGAATACCATGCGGGCTACGTGCGCCAGTCGGCCGCACGCGCATATCGAAATCCTTCCAAAGCCGTCATCGCCGACACGTGGACACCATCATCGCCGTCGGCGTGAACAACGTCGTCGCCGTCATTGGCTTCGCCTTCGTCATCGTCATCATCGCCACCAACCCTCTACCATCTCCTCGCGTCTGCCGTGGTCACCGTCGCTATGATACCGTGCCCGCCCAAACTACCGGATCGCGAAGTGCCCACGCATCAGCGCGGCCTGCGAGACGCGCTGAAAAGACCCCAGCGCTCAGCGCCACTGCGGCCGCGTCGGTCGCGCCAGACTAGTTGGCCGCTCTGCGCGCGAGCCTGCGCGCGATATCGCGGCCGCAGCCATGGCCAACGCCGAGCAGTCAGCGCAATCGCCGCCGCATGGGTTTTGCCCACCAAATTGCGGGAGGATGAGGGGATGATTGCGCGAGCAGTGAAATTGGCAAATACTCGCAAATCCAAAAATACCACCGCGTCGATTTCACATGCACGGCAGGACATAGATGGCCCCGTCAGATTGCGCAACATACATTGCACAGCGTAGGTTGCAAGAAATGAGCTGCTCGACATAGATTCTCCATTCTAAAAACAAAATAGACTCTACCCCCCCGGCGTTATCCGCCCCCCTTTTCGGGTATGTAAAACATATATGATTATGACCACAGGTCCATCCGAAATATGAATTTACACTATCCCCGAGGGGCCAGGATCGGCCCCCCTGAGGAAAAACAATACACGGGGGGATCTTTTGTTCTAACATAACACTTGTTCACGGATCCCTTGCAAAAAAAAAAAAAACGGGACGAAGTGCACACGCGCGCGTCGTCGCGCGCGCATGCCGAAATCCTTCAAAAACCTTTGGTGCCGGAGGGATTTCGCAATCGAGCTTCCAAAAAGCATACAAAAACACATGGTTTCGCAACACTGATTTGCTAAAAAAGCTTGCGCGCGAGCTCTTGCGCGCGCGCATGTCGAAATCTGTCGAACGCCCTGGCGCGTGTGCCGTCGCGAGAATCTTCTGACAAAATGGGACGAAATGCAGACGCGCGCGTCGTCGCGCGCGCGTATGCCGAAATCCTTCAAAACCCTTCGGTTTCGGAATGATTTCAAAATCGTGTCGGAAAAACATACAAAAACACAAGGTTTCGCAACACGGATTTTCAACAAAAGCGTGCGCGCGCGCTCTTGCGTCGTCGTCGTCGTCGCCGTCCTCCCTCCTCCCGCGTCGTCGTCGTCGTCGCCTACGTCGTCTTCTGTCTTTCCTCGTGTTCGTCGTCGTCGTCCTGTGTGGCGTCGTCGTCGTTTCCGTCGTCGTTCTCGCCGTGGTCATCTTTGCTCCTCCTCCCTCGTCGTCGTCGTCGTCCGTCGTCGGCGTCTCGTCGTCGTCCATCCTATTTCGTCGCCGTCGTCGTCGTCGTCGTCGTCGTTGTCGTCGTCGTCGTCTTCCCTCCTCCGTCGTCGTTGTCGTCGGCGGCGTCGCCGTCCTTCCTCCTTCTTGTGGTTCGCGTCGTCGCCGTCCTCCCTCCTCCCTCGTCGTTGTCGTCGTTGTCGTCGTTGTCGTCGTTGTCGTCGTTGTCGCCGTCGTCGTCCTCCCTCCTCCCTCGTCGTCGTTTTCGTTGGCGACGTCGTCGTCGTCGTCGTCTTCGTCGTCGTCGTCGGCGTCGGCGTCGTCGTTTTCGTCGTCGTCGACGTCGTCGTCGCCGAAGTCGTCGGAGACGTCGTCAGTGTCAATCGTCGTCGTCGGCGTCGTCGTCGTTGTCGACGTCGCTGTCGTCGTCGGTGTCGCTGTCAAGTGCCATTATGTACATACCGTCTTGGTCTTAAGAGGTTCTGCAAACCAAGCTGCGGGTGGGTGGGTCGGATGTTTGCAAGAGCATGGGATGTGTCAAACCATTGGTAAAACTCAATTCTCCTTTCTGAAGGACTAATAGATTCTACCCCCCCCCCCGGACTTATCGGGACCCCCGCGCGTGCTGTAAATTACATATGATTATGACCACATGTCCATCCTAAATATGAATTCGTACCATCCCAGCCAAGCCGGTATCCCCCCCCCTGCGGTTCCCTTGTAAAAAACACTATGCGGTGACATTTTTTTGTTCTAACATAACACGCACGCGCGCGTCGTCGCGCGCGCATGCCGAAATCCTTCAAAAACCTTCGGTGCCGGAAGGATTTCGCAATCGAGTTTCCAAAACAACATACAAAAACACATGGTTTCGCAACACTGATTTGCTAAAAAAACTTCCGCGTGAGGTCTTGCGAAATCTTAAGAAAACCATAGGTTTTCCCAGATTTTCACAAAATGCTACCAAACGGGCTTCGCGCGCGCGCATGTCGAAATCTGTCGAACGCCCTTGCGCGTGTGCCGTCGCGAGAATCCTCTGCGAAAAATGGGACGAAGTGCAGACGCGCGCGTCGTCGCGGGCGTATGCCGAAATCCTTCAAAAACCATCGGTTTCAGAAGGATTTCAAAATCGTGCGTCCAAAAAACCTACAAGAACCCAAGGTTTCGCAACACGGATTTTCAACAAAAGCGTGCGCGCGCGCTCTTGCGTCGTCGTCGTCGTCGTCGTCCTCCCTCCTCCCTCGTCGTCGTCGTCGTCGTCGTCGCCGTCGTCGTCTTCTGTCTTTCCTCGTCGTCGTTGTCGTCGTCTTGGCGTCGTCGTCGTTTCCGTCGTCGTTGTCGCCGTGGTCGTCCTTCCTCCCTCGTTGTCTTCGTCGGCGTCTCGTCGTTGTCCCTCCTATTTCGTCGCGTCGTCGTCGTCGTCGTCGTCGTGGTCTTCACTCCTCCCTCGTCGTTATCCTCCTCCCTCGTCGTCGTCGTCCGTCGTCGGCGTCTCGTCGTCGTCCTTTCATTTCGTCGCCGTCGTCGTCGTCTTCGTCGTCGTTGTCATCGTCGTCGTCTTCCCTCCTCCCTCGTCGTTGTCGTCGTCGGCGTCGCCGTCCTTCCTCCTTCTTCGTCGTTGGCGTCGTCGCCGTCTTCCCTCCTCCATCGTCGTTGTCGTCGTTGTCGCCGTCGTCGTTTTTTCTCCTCCCTCGTCGTCGTCTCCGTTGGCGACGTCGTCGTCGTCTTCGTCGTCGTCGTCGGCGTCGTTGTCGTCGTCGTCGGTGTCGTCGTCGTCGTTGTCGCCGTCGAAAACATTGGAGACGTCGTCGGTGTCGTCGCAGTCGCTGTCGGCGGCGCCGTCGTCGTCGATGTCGCTGTCGTCGTCGGCATCGGTGTCGTGGCCAAGTGCCATGTGGTACCTACCGTCACGGTCTTGTCTGAAGAGGTCTTGCGACCAAGTTGCGGGTGGGAGGGTGGGATGTTTGCACGAGCAGTGGAGAGGACAGCTTCAAGACGGTCAAGATTAGTTGCACCACGTAGCTTGCACCTAATGGCACAACATAGATCGCACCATCTAGATTGCACCACATTGCTTGCACAACACATACTGCGACACATTGCTTGCGCAACAACGAGTACACAACATCCGTTGCACCACATCTGTTGCGCCAGACAGGCTGCACCGCATAGATTGCACCACGTGTTGCCCGAAACGCATGGGCTGGGGCCCATGCTGGCAGACAATTCCTCCACACGTTGCCCTTAAGAGCACCCGAGAAGCTTGGAAACGGAAAATTCACACTGTTACATTGAAGGAGCTGTTTGCTGAAAGGCACAAACCTTTTAGTAGAGTGTTTTTGCTCTGTTGCGCGACGACCGCGGCGGCGCGTCCGAATTGTCGAACCACGTCCTGCGCTCGCACCCGGAATCTTCTGTCAAGGAGCATCTACAATTCTTTGGGTTTTTGGGACGCCACTTCAAGCGGCGTCCCAAAAACCCACGGAGGCCCCGAACGGAATCCCACAAGCCTCCACGAGCCCCCTGCTCTGCCGGCGGTCCCACGAGCCCCCTCAAGAGACTTCCAAAGGTGCTCTCGAGAGGCATGTCAAGCGACCCCAAGGACCCTGGCCCCCAACCCAGGCACGGTGGAGGCATGGGCCGAAGGCCACTATATCCACAGCCCCTTTTTGCTTGCAAGAGGGGTCGTTGGCATGCCAAGGGTTAAATTGTTCTAGCGAGTTCAAAAGGTGCTCTGTGGCCTCTGCCTCAGCCCGCTGGCCACCCGAAAGCACCACCTTCCTCCGCCTCCAAGACACCCGAGATGGCCGCCCGAGATGGCCCCCAGGATGGCCGCCCGAGATGGCCCAAAGATGCATCCAAGGTAGCCCAATCATGATCCAAGACGATACATTATTGCCTCAAGACGGCCCGAGAGGCCCCAGAGACGCTCCAAGTAGCTCCAAGATGGCCTGCAGGAGGCTTCCACTTGGCAGAGGAACCTGGAGTCGCCTAGTTGCTTGACACCTTCTCGCGTTCTCGCCCTTTCGGGCTTCAGACTGGCCAGCACGACGTCCCAGAGGCCTCCAAGACGGCCGTAGAGCGTCCAAAGAGGGCCCTAAGACCGCCCATGAGGCCCCCAAGACGGCATCTCAAGGCCAAGATCCATCAGAGGCCCCGGGGGCCCCCAGAAGGCCAGCAAGAGGTCTCAGGAGGCCCCAAGAGGCTCCCACAATAGGCTTCCTATTTTTCCTCCTCCTCCTCCTCCTCCTCCTCCTCCTCCTCCTCCTCCTCCTCCTCCTCCTCCTCTCTCCCTCTCTTCCTTCCCCAAGTGTTCCCCCAGGGGCTTTTACAACGGCTGGGGGGGGCACATAGCCAAATATCTTGGCAAGACTTCGGCCCAACGTCTGGCCGCACAAGCGCTTGAAAAGCTAAAAGGGCGGCAGTGGTTCGCCACAGGCGTCTCGGAGACTCCAGTAACAACATTCAGTATAAAAAAGTACACGAAGGCAATGTAGACCAGGAATCCGCCGACACCCGCTCGCCGGCGGGGTGCAGGGGTCGGGCGGTCGGGCGCACGCCAACGCTTGGCGGCGCGCACCTGTGCGCGGGCCTGGTCTGAAGGTGTAGGGCCGGCGCCTTCTGTGAACCAGCCTTCTTCTAAGAAGCCTTCCCCCCTCACCTACCCCCTTGTGCGCGCCGCCAGAATGTGGATTACGGATCCGTGGATCTGGCGCGTGAGCGCCAGACACACGGCCGAAAGAGACCTCAGGCCCTAGGCCACCTCATGGCAACACAACGCGCCTTCACCCACGGGGGTAAGTCGGGGGCCAGGGCGTGCGGTTCTCGCCGCCCTGAGAGGGGGCTGGGCGGCGAGATGTGCCACCTCCGCCGCCGACCGCCCTGGACCCTAGAGGGGAGAAGGGAAGAGAAAGAGGAGGAGGAGGAGGAGGAGGAGGAGGAGGAGGAAGGAGGAGGGAGGAGGAGGAGGAGGAGAGGATGAGGGGGAGGGGAGAGAGGAGGAGGAGGAGGAGGAGGAGGAGGGAGAGGCAGGAGGGAGGAGGGAGGAGGAGGAGGAGGAGGAGGAGGGGAGGAGGAGGAGGAGGAGGAGGAGGAGGAGGAGGAGGAGGAGGAGGAGGAGGAGGAGAGGAGAGGAGGAGGAGGAGGAGGAGGAGGAGAGAGGAGAGGAGGAGGGAGGAGGGAGGAGGAGAGAGGAGGGAGGAGGGAGGAGGGCGGCAGTTGGCGAGCGGCCTGGGTCAGAGATGGCACGGGTCAGAATCCCGGAAGGAAGTGAGAAGGGGCGAGCCTGCTCAGAAGGCTTGAAAGTCCCCCCCCAGCCATCTGGGAAGTGTCCTCAGCCGCCCAAGACGGCACAGAAGCCTTCTCAGAAGGCCAGAGGGCTTCTGAGAAGCCGCGCCGCCTTCTGAGAAGGCTTTCTCCTTCTCGCTTCCCCCCCCTCGCTCGCCGCCGAACCCAGGCAGGACGCGCAGGGACAGGGCCACGCTGCGCAATTCTCGCCGCAGAAGGTGATGGGCCGACTTTCCACCACCGCTATCATAGGTGGGAGAGGGAGGAGGACAGGGAGGAAGAGGAGGAGGAGGAGAAGGAGGAGGAGGAGGACGAGGACCTGCTCATCCTCCCTTCCCCCCCTCGCTCGCAGCCGACAGAAACGAGGATCGCACTGGCTCAAACCTGTCCTCTGCAGGTTCGCCCGGCCACTCCGGAGAAAGGTCACCTGGGCCTGGCCGGGCCTCGAGCCGGAGAGGGGGGGCCCGCACCTCGGAGGAGCCGATCGGCATCCTTGGCCTGCTCGGTCTCCTTCTCGGATGCAGAGCATGGCTCGACCGCGTCTGGCGTCTGGGTCGAAGCGTTCGCATGATGCGAGGAGGGAGGGCCGTTTTGTGGACATGTGGCGAAGCACCGCGTGCCACAGAGAGGAGAGGGGCAAGAGGAGAGAACGGGCCCGCCACGCCGAGGCTCCCGTTGGGGAACGCCCCAGCCGCCTCAGCCCTCACAGGGGCAGGGAAGGGCGCCACCAAAGGCAAGGCGGAAGCGAGGGAGGGGGGAGGGGGGAGGAGGAGGGTGAGCACCAGAGGTGGGGGGACAGGCTCATCAACGGCCCCCCCACTCGGCGGAATGGCGCATGACCCTGGGATAGCGTCACCCACAGCGAGCTACCCGTGCCCACGAGCGGTTCGGTGAGCTCGTTCCAGCTGATACCCCCCGACACAGCCCACCACAGGCTCAACATTGACCTGCAAGCAGGTGAACGGCAAAGGAAAAAGGACGGCTTTCGCAGGCCGCTAACGCGGGGCTCTACGCGGAAGAGGGGACGCCCGCGCGCGACCTTGTGCGGGCAGCTTGCTCACGAATGTCCGCGTTCTCCGCCCCCCTTTGTCAACGTCGCTCAGGTGGGAGGGTAGATAAATGCGAGGAGAACGAGGAGGAAAGACCGAGACAAGGTTCCGTAATATTGCGTCAGGTTCGGGTCATCGACTCGCGTTCCACCTTCAGTGTGCACCGTCACGGCCTGTGTCAAAATAACTCCGAACGAATACACAATGATAAAGAGCAACAGGAGCGCCCAGAATACAGACTTGCCCGCGCAATACAGCGAGTGCAGCAGCAACCGTAGGGGCTTGAGCTGGCGAAAGGTTCGGACGAGGCGAAGAAGCCGAGTGAGGCGGAAGAGACGCAGGACCTTCGCCGAACCGCCACTGTCGAACAACTCGTCCGTCGTGCCAGAGAGCGCGTATACAGAAAACGCGAGGACAACCTCGACAAGCGCCAGGAGCAAAATAATGACGTCAAATCCGCCACCATGTCTCGGGTACGTGCCAGCGTGCCCGTTAGCTCGTGCCTGCTCTTCCTACGAAACGATCCAAATAGCGGAATGGGGGCTCGGGACACCGATTTCGGGGTGCTCTCGCGGGCCCCTGCAAACTCCCACGGGATCCATGGGCTGTCGCGTGCCGTACAACACACTCCTCAGAGGTCTCTCAGACCGTCTTGAAGACCCAGGCGGTAGAAAAGCGAGCGTCTTGTGCAACTCATGTCGTGTGGGTGCAATATAGTGCACCCTCAGCACTGCATGCTCTGAGTGTGCCCTCCTTCCGTCGCGGCCGCTTCTCTTTCTTCCTCCGCGCGTCCCCTTGTACCTCATCTCACTCGCGCCTTCATACAGTCGGGGCGTTGACCTAAGGAACCCTAAATAAGGAACGAGGCCCCTTTTTTCCATAAGTTAACTTTCGATTTCCTGCCGAAATCATAAGGAAAGCCTGAGGCAAGCTGTGAAACACTTAAGGAACGCGGAGCCCCTCCCCAACGAAAAGGGTTCCTTCTTCAGGGCCCCGACTGTAGTCCCGGTGCCGCTGTGACCGCGGTGTGATCGCCCCACCGCCGCCGACCAAACAAAACGTAATGGATGCCCCATTCTCACCTTCTCGGCCTCAAGAGCGTCCAAGACGCCCCAAGAGGCCCCCAGGAGGGCATCCCGAGGCCTCCGAGAGGGGCCCGAGAGGCCCCAAAGATTGTCCCAAGAGGAACTCGAGAAGGGGGGCCGCGAACAGACCCCAGGAGCACGGCTGGGAATCCGCCTGAGATGTCCCCAGGACCCTTCGCTGGGAGAGGGGTCTGAGGTACGCATCAGGCCGTCTGGTCGGCAAAGGGGCTCGGTGTATATACGCCCCATCTTCTCATCCTGTGGGAACTTTTCGTCCTCGTCCTCCTCCTCCTCCTCCTCCTCCTCCTCCTCCTCCTCCTCCTCCTTCTCTCCTCGCCGAATTCCTTCGCCCAGCTCAAAGTTCCTTGGCCGACCAAGCGACATGGTGTGTACATCGAGACCCTCCCACTCGCAGGTCCCCAGCAGGCTCTCGGGAGCCCCCAAGCAGGCCCTAGGAGGCTCCCCTGGAGCCCCCCGCGAAGCCCTCCAGGCAGTGGGTGGACTAAAAGTGTCCACACGTGTCTCGCCAAGTCCTTGAGTTATTCAAGTACGTCGGACCAAAATGAGTACCCCCCTTCCCCTGAATTCAAGATTGACGGGTTTGGGCGGGAGGCCAAAGGCCAGGGACAAAATGTGGACACTTCAGCTTTGGGTTTGGGGGAGAGGGGTACGAAGCAAGGGCATGTCGCACTTGTGGTTGTTATCATGTTGCATCGCCTTCCCGCCATGGGTGTGGGCACTTTATGTCTGGGCACCGGAGGACCCCAAGACGCCCCCAAGAGGCCCACATTAAGACGAAGCGAGGGCGGGGATAAATTCGGATGAGGATAAGTCGAGAATATCTGAGGTCTGGCGGCTCTGGAAGATGTCGCGCGGCCTTTTCTGAGCGTTCCGGAACGCTCTGAGAGCATTCTGGAACGTTCTGGAACGGATTGATCCTCGTCCTAGCCCCGCCCGACACATCCCGGGAGAGCGCAGTATTCTGAATCGGTTGTCCATGGGTCAAGCTCTCCAGGAACATGGCCAGGAATGCGTTCTAGCCCTCGGTACTGCCCATTGCGCCTTGAGCGACAACGCAATCACCTTGACAGGATCCAGACGGCCCCCAAGAACGTTCACAAGCTACCAAAAGAGCCCGAGAAGAGCTCCGAGGCAGCCGTGCTCCCCCAGTCCTTCCAACAAAACCTTCTGGAAATCAAAAACTGAATCACAAACGGGCGAGAGTTACGCCGATGATTGCCACGAGTGCCTTGCGCTGCCACAGGGACAAGGGGACGGCGGTGATTCTCCGCAGGCGTCTTCGATAAGTTCCACACTCTTTCGTAGACGAAGAAATCGAGCCTGAACACATACAGTCGTGCCACCATCTCCACTGTGAACAACACTGTGAGTGCGTAATTCGTTGCTGACAATGCACTCATCCACTGATCCGAGCTGGACCCATGACTGGACAAGCTAGAAAGTACCTGGGTCTCGATACCGATCAGGACGGTGCTGAATATGATCAGGCAAGCGATGCCAATACTGAAACCGCGGCCCTTCACCAACTGGGCGATGAACCCGTCTTCTGGCTCCGGCAGGCTGATCCTCATAGCCCCCCGGGACTGCCGCACTGCAGCGTTGAACCGCCTCTGCTCCTTCAGAGACGGGCACGGCTCGCTGCGCGCTGCTCTGTCGGGGGAAGACGCCGCGGTGGGGATCCCGTCCGGCGAGCCCTGCAGCGCCGCAAGGCGCGGCCGCGCGGGCCGTGCCGACGGCAACAGGCTCACGAGCGAACGCAGGGAACGCCGTGGCGCCGGGAGGCCCCTGCCTGTGGCACGAGGGCAAAAGGGGGCTCTGAGGGAGACGGGCCCTGGGCACCCCTGGCGCTGCCCCCGAGACTGCCACCTCGCTCCGCCAGGACGGCTGGCCGGTCCAGGGGCCGCGGGTCGAAGAGGAAAGAACGGCATGAACACAAACTTGAGCGGCGCTTCACGCGGACTTCTTGGATCGGCGCTGGGCCCTCCTGGCGACGCCTCTGGCGCCGCCCCCGGCGCGCTCCGCGCGCGGGGGAGGGTGGTCCAGCGCTGACCCAAGAGATCTGCGCGGACATCCGAGAAATCCGCGGACGACCTCCGCCCCTCCCTCGTCGCAGGCGCACGGAAAGAATCGCGCTCGCCGAAGTCTGCCCTCCAATCCAAGAGCTCTGCAGTGAAGAGCTCGCCGCGCTGTCAGGGCCCTCTGGCGGCGCAAAGCCAAAGGAAAACCACAATTTGGCTTATGCTGTTTTTCGTTCGAGCCCGGGGAGGCCGCAAGCGGCCCAACACCTCTGATGAAGGGGCCCAGGGACACACACACACACACACATAATTACACACAAATAACCGGATTCCCCATATTTTCCTTTTTGGGGTTTTGTCTTCCCCCCCACTTCCCAGATTTTCCCATTTTTTCCTGGGACTCGACGATTCATTGTGTCTGTGTGTTCTTTCCCCTGCCTCCGGCTCCTGTCCAAGGCGTACCTTTTCCTGTGCAAGCTCTTCAGCACTGCCTGCACCCCGCGCCCTCCGGCCGCCCGAGGCCCCGCCCGCCCGCGCCCTGTCTCACCAATGAGTGCTTTGCGCGGCCCGCCTAGCTCTTAACTGGAAGAGGCTCGCTCTCGACCCGCCGACCAAAAAAGTGCTCTTTCCCCTCCTGAGAAGCACCCCCGAACCCCTCAGGACCCCTTTCCTTCGTGGCGATGCCTGCTGGCCGCGGGGTGCTCTCGCCGTCGCCGCGGGACGAGACCGCCGCGACGCTGTCGGCCGACATCTGCCGGGACGGGGCGCCCGCTGCCGGGACGCTGTCGCTGGGCGGCCAGCGCCGCCCCCCCCTGCCCGGGGTCGCCCTCGACGGGCTGCTCACCGGGCTCGTGCAGTCGGGCATGCTGCGGGTCTCGCGGACTGGGCTCCCGGGAGCGCTCCCGAAGGATAGTTGCTGGGACATCGTGGGTCCCGCCGCAGGGGAGGCGTCGCCGGGCGTCCTCAGCCGTCCGGGCTTGCTCAGGGTCGCCCTCGGAGGGCTGACTGGGCTCGGGCAGTCGGCCGAGTTCGAGTACAGACTCTCGTACTCCGCGGCGAGCTCGAGCAACCGTTGCCGGAACAGGTCCGGTTGCATAGCGGGGAGCTCCGACTTCCAGATGGCGTTCATGCTGGTGGGATGCTTCGAGAACGGCTTACTTGAGCCGAACTTGTTCGTCGAAAGCGCATACAGCCTAACGAGGAGAGCGACTACGAGCGGGAGGCAGGGGAGAGAGGAAATTCTGCTGCGAGCTCAGGGCCGACATGTCCAGGTTTTCCGCGACTGGCCGGCTACATCCTGGATGTGCAGATGTTTGTCTCCCTGTGATAGACGCGTCCTGTCATCAGTATCATTGCAGTGGTCATTTCCCTGTCTTTCCTTGGTGCCGACGTCTACATACGTCCTCTCCTTTCCCTCCCCGGCGCTCTCTACCATGAACGTTTACACAACTGACACATAAAACATGCGCATCTACTCACACAAACAACCAAAAACACGCACAGGTATGTCATAGGGGTACGCGTGTGATCTCGCATGCAGGTGCGCTCATGCATTGGCACACACGCATACACAAATCCGTACCCCGACTTACGTCTGCAAGAATACAAACCGGGGTACCGCTACTCCCCGACCTCTCCTGGGGTGCGTTCTGATCAGGATTTCGGGGCGAATCCAGCGGTGGCGACGAGGGCCTCCCAGGAGGCCCAAAAGTGGGGTAAACGCACGGAGGGTGGCCGTATGGGTATACCTGTTCCTCCTCAGACAAGCGCAAACGAAATTCGAACTTGCCAGCTGCGCGCTCAGGCGTTACACCTTCCATCCATCTGTCGTGCGACCGCCCCTGCGAGATCCTGCCAGTCGGAGAGAGGTTGGCGAACCGTCGCACATTGCCCTCGGGCGCGTGGTGGCGAGGGGGTTCCCACGTGCGGGTCCAACTGAACTGCACAAGCAGCTTCGAGTACCACCAGACGAGACAGATTCGCGCAAGTTCTTCATCGATCTCCAAGTCGAGGGTATTGGAATGCCTTGGCATTCCTTTCCCCTGCATGTGCCTGCTGAAGCAAGCCGCTCCAACGCGTCCCCCTGCAATCACGGTGAGGGGAGGCGTACGAGGCTGAGATGCGGAAGAAGAAAGGGGCAGGAGAAGCAGGCGGAGAATTCGGAGAACTCGGCGACGACGAAGTCGAGACACGCTTTCGGGGACGCATGCGGAGAAGCGGGAGGAGGAAGGGGAACGAGGGAAGGTTGGGGAGAGAGGAAGTGGCAAAGACGATGGTGAGGAGGAGGAGGAGGAGGAGGAGGAGGAGGAGGACGACGACGACGAAGGGGGGGTGAGGAGGATAAGAGAGGATCAGAACTGAGTAAGAGGAGGCAGAATGAGGGATGAGAGAAAAAAACGAGAAGAGGGGATACCGAAGACGAGGAAAAAGGAGGGAGACGGCATCCGCTGTGGGGCTTGCCCTTGAACTTGCCGCCGCAGCCCATGGACTTGCCCTTGCTGCTCTCGGTATGCAGCGGCTAGCTGTCGATCAGGGCGAAGCTCTCCTTCGGGGTGTGCCGCCACCTGTCTACCAAGAAGCTATTTCTCCTCCTTCTCCTCCCCTTCCTCCTCTTCCGCTTCTCGTCCTCACCCCTCTTCCGCCCCCCCCCCCAAGCACGAAAGGGGTACAGCCCCTCCCTCTCATCAGGCTGGCTCGCCTCTCTCTCCGCATCGCCACCTCTCCCTGCTCATCACCGTCATCGTCAACGCCGGCGGCCCTCCCGTGCCTGCCCCTCCGCCCCTCGCTCCTTCTGTGCAGCCGTGTGCGCCCGCTCTCCCGCCCGGCCCGCCCACGGCAATCCGATCCGGCCTGCCCCACCCTGCCGATCCGGGACACGCTGCAGCCCCAACGTGCTCCGTCGCTGAAGGGGCCCCAGGACACACAAACAAATGCACACGAATAAAAACACTCCCCACAGTTTCCCCCACACTTTCTGGGTGTTTGTCTTCCCCCCCACGTCCCACATCTTCCCCCATTTTCTGGGGGATCGACGATTAACTGTGTCTGTGTTTTTGTTGTTTCCCTCCCGAGTCGCGTGGACGCCGCGTCGCCCCTGCCGCCGGCGGCGCGGCGGGAGCGGCACACGCGGCGCAGCGCCCCGGTGCGCAGAAAGGCCGAGCCGCCGCCCTCGCCTCGGCGCCTCGCCCGTGGTGCCTGGAGAGCTCTGGGCGCCGAACCTGCGCCAAGAAAACGATTGCGGAGCGCGAGCGGCTGTTCTGGACATGGCTCCAGCAGCAGACCGATCTCAGGCTCCTCGGGGAAGGCCGAGCAGCCGCCCTCGCCTCGGCGCCTCGCCCGTGCTCCTGGAGAGCTCTGGGCGCCGAACCTGTGCCAAAAAACGATTGCGGAGTGCGAGCAGCTTTCTGTCGGGCCTGTCCCCCTACAGGGGGATTGTCGACCAAAACATAAAAAAATACGCCAAGAATAGTCTAGACATAGTCCAAAAATAGTCTGGGGATTATTTTTTGAGTATGTTTTGACCTTTTTAGAATGTTTTTGGTGTATTCTATACTCTCGTCGAAAATCCCCCTGTAGGGGACACGCCCGACTTAAGAGTAGCTGTTCTGGACACAGCTCCAGCAGCAGACCGATCTCGGGCTCCTCGGGGCTCTAGACGAGTGCGGTCGGCACTGCTGCACCCGTGGATGTGCATGAGAGTTCTGCAGCTGCTCCAGATCTCGAGATCAAGGCTCTCGCTGGGCCGCGGCGCACATTGGAGGGGCCCTGGGACACACAAACAAATACACACTCATAACATAATTCACCATCTTTTCCTACATGTTTTGGGTGTTTGCCTTCCCCCCCACTTCCCATATTTCCCTATGTTTTCTGGGGAATCGACGAATAATTGTGTCTGTGTTTTTTTTTCCCTCCTGATAGATCTCGAGATCAAGGCTCTCGCTGGGCCGCGGCGCACACGTCGCTCCCGCCCCGGCGCCGCGCAGGCGGCCTTCGAGCGTGGCGACCCGCCCCGGCGCGGCGCATCTCCCTGCCCCTCGCCAGGTGCCTGGGGGGGGCCCGCGCGAGGGGGGCGACCCGCCGCCCTCGCCCCCCCAAAAGAAGCTCCGTGCGCATGCTGCTGTATGAAGGGGCCCTGGGACACACAAATAAATAAACACAAGTAACCAGATTCCCCATATTTTCCTATATTTTCCGGGCTTTTGTCTCCCCCCCCACGTCCCATATGTTTCCATATTTTCTTGGAAATCGACGACTAATTGTGTCTGTGTGTTTCTTTCCCTCCTGACTTTAGAGGAAGAAAACACATGAACAGAAACTTGTGGCGCTCCGCGCGGATTTCTTGGACTCGCGCTGGTCTCCGCCCTGGCGCGCGGAGCGCGCCAGGGGCGGCGCCAGAGGCGCCGCCGGATGGGGCGCCAGGCGCGGATCCAAGAAATCCGCGCGGAGCGCCAACAGTTTATGTTTATGTTTATGGTTTTTAGTTTTCCCTTTGTCGATGCTCGAAACGTGGCGCTCCCGCGCGAGCGCGGAGGTGGTGGCTCCTTCGTCGAAGCGCACGGCAGCGCGGCAGCGGCCGCAGGGGCCGCGCGGGAGCGGGCGAACAACGCCGGCCTGGCCCGAGCGCCGCGCAGCTCGGGCGCGAGAGCGACGGCGCCGTGCCAGCGCGGCGCGCGCCTCGTCTTCGCCGCGCCCGTCACAACGTTTGCCGATCACGCGCACGCTGATGCGGAGCACCCTGTCTGAGCGGTGGGTCCACTCGTGGAAGCTACTGCACACGAAGACCATCGTCACGCCGAAAGACGCCAGGACCGTGTAGCGCTTCAGTCACACCTGGCTTGGAACGTTTGCCGATCCCGCCCCCGCGCGGCCCGCGACACTGTCCCTTCGCGAAGTCGTTGAAAGCGGGACCGCGCGCGGGGGCCTTCATTTTGCAGGGTGGTCGCGTTCCGATCCCAGTGCGCCACAATTGGTCCCTATGTTCTGGGAGGGAGATTGGGCATAGGCCGGGCCCTCTGAGTCGCTCGACCTGGCCAATTTGACTCCTCGCGTGCAGCGGTGCCGCAACGAGATGACTTCCGATTGCCGACGACAAGCTCTTCTAAGCTGCCATCTCACTTCTGGCCCTCTCAGGGCGAATCATGGCACAGCTGTGGGTGGGTGCCTCTGAGTTGATGGTAATGCAGTGAAGACTAACTTGACTCCTACTCCTCCTCCTCCTCCTCCTCCTCCTCCTCCTCCTCCTCCTCCTCCTCCTCCTCCTCCTCCTCCTCCTCCTCCCCAAATTGGAAGGGCCTGGGCGCTCTTGTACAATCCTCAGATTCGCCGCGTGACTTTTCCAGATGCCCTGGGGGCATGGTTGGAAGCCCAGAAATCCAGCATGCCCCGAGACGGCCCCAGAAGAGCGTCATGGAGATCTCTCGGGGGTACCTGAGGCCATCTTCGGCTTCGAAACATGGAAAGCGCAGGTGGGGTAGCCCCCCAGTCATCCAGTCTCACGGCCTCCTTCCTTCAAGTTTGGGCCCCGTAGAGGCCTGTTCTGGGGCCCCTTCGTACATCCTGGCCTGCCCAAAACTCCGACGTCGTCTTCCGCTTACGGTCATGAGCTTTTGCTTAAGCGTGTCGCAGCGGCGGCCCTGGCGACACGCTATGCCGTGCAAGCGGATAGCAAGACGCTCCGCTCCGTGGAGCGGGAGGCGGCCGGGGAAGAGCTCGGGAAGTTGGCGCTTGCGAGCCGGGACGTGGATAGCGTGTCGCGCCAAGGCGTGGCGGGTCAGAACTGGGCGCGCGACACGCCAACCCAGGGATCCGATGTTTTGCTGTTGTTTGAAACAGGGCCCCCCGGAAGACTCGAGCCGTACCCTGGGGGACGTTTTCATCTCGAGGACTTTTGTTGACGGCCCCAGTGCCCGGCGAGGGCCCCCAGAGGACGAAAACGACGAAAAACCTCCGCCCTGATTCTGTCAATACGCTGGAAGTCTGGGCGCGGCCCCCGTGGCACGGAGGAAACGGGCCATGAAGGAAACTGGTCCTGGACCCTGGGGCCTTCCCAAAGGACGAGCTTTTCATCCTGAGTCCTTTTCTGCCAGTCCCGGGGCACTGGCCTCTACGCATAATGTGGCCCAGCTCGTGAAGCCAAAGCTGACTTTGCGCTATATCGCAAATATCATGCGTCCCCATGGAATTTGGATTTTTTTCCCCGGGGTCCAGTGGGCACTCGGGAGTTCTCTGGAGATCTCTGGGCTTTGGCGACGCAAGCAAATGAACGACCACGCGCTCGTGGCCACCACCCCCCAATGGGGATAGGAGCCCACAGCAGCTAGAACTAACAGGCAGCGTGTCAACTGCGAGAACGAACTCGCCAGAGCAGCAAGCGCAGGGCGTGCCCCGAGAGACGGAGCGCAGCGAAAAACCTCAGGACCCGTTTAAAACAGGGCTAGGATCGGGATACATCGCTCCAGAGCGTTCCGGAGCGCTCTCAGAGCGTTCTGGAACGCTCTGGAGCGGCCGCGGCGCCCAATACATCCTCCAAACCCGCCGATTCTCAGAGGTTTCGAATTATCCCGATCCGATGTTGTCCCGATCTTCGCGTCGTTTTACCGTTGCCCCTCTGGCGGGCCCTGGCCTGGAGCTGTCGAGGCCACGGACGGCCCGGTCGCGGGGGCGGGCCCCGCGTCTCGGGGGCCAGCTGCCCTGCCGGGGCCCCGAGCGCGGCCCCCGGAGGCGGAGGCGGCGGCCCTGCGCATGGCAACACGCTGCTCTCCTCCTCCTCCTCCTCCTCCTCCTCCTCCTCCTCCTCCTCCTCCTCCTCCTCCTCCTCTTCTCTTCCTCCTGCTCCTCCTCCTTGCCTCCTCTCCTCCTCCTCCTCCTCCTCCTCCTCCTCCTCTTCCTCCTCTGCCTCCTCCTCACTTCTGCTCCTAATCATCATTCCTCCTCCTCCTCCTCCTTCTCCTCCTTCCTGCCTTCCTTCCTTCCTTCATTCCTTCCTTCCTCGTCGTCCTCCTCCTCCACCTCCTTATTTCTCCTCGTCATCATCATCAACATCATCAGCATCAGCAACAACATCATCATCATCATCAGCATCATCAGCATCATCATCATCATCATCATCATCAGCATCAGCATCAGCATCAGCATCAGCATCATCAGCAGCAGCATCAGCATCAGCATCAGCATCAGCATCAGCAGCAGCATCAGCATCAGCATCATCAACATCATCATCATCATCATCATCATCATCATCATCATCATCATCATCATCATCGTCATCATCATCATCATCATCATCATCATCATCATCCTCATCATCGCCATCATTACCGTCACCATCATCATCACCATCATCATCATCCTCAGCAGCAGCATCAGCAACATCATCATCACTCCTCCTTCCTCCTTCCTCCTCCAGGGGACCACTCCCTCCTTCCCATTCCCCCTCCTTCCTTCCTTGGCTCGGAGATTTCTGAACCCCCTGGCGCCGCGGGACGGACTCCCTGGAACCCCGGCGGCCCCCCGGGAGGCAGAGGCGGCGGCCCACCGGAGGCAGAGGTGGCGGAGCTGCTCCGGCAGAGCGCCCACCAGCAGCATCCTCGTGCGGGCAGTCGGTGGCTGCCTGCCAGGCTCGGCGGCGAGCGAGGGGGGAGGCGAGCAGGAGGAGGCCTTCTCTAAAGGGGCCCAGGGACAAGCAAATGAACGCACACAAATCCCAGGATGCCCCATGTTTTCCCATACTTTCGGGGCTTTTGTCTTCCCTCCCGCTTCCCATATGTTCCCATATCTTCTTGGGAATCGAAGATGAATTTCGTCTGTGTTTTTTCCCCTCCTGATTCTCAGAAGGGATGGGGGGAGGAGGGAGGAGAAGGGGTGATGATGGAGGAGGGGGAGTGACGAGGAAGATGTGGGGAGAGGAGGATGGATCAGGTAGGGGTGGAGGGAATGAGGAAAAGGGAGGAGGATGAAAAGCGGGGTACAGGGGGCAGGAGGAAAAACCAAGACGAACATCACGGCGAGCACGACGACGACGAAGACGACGACGACGAGCACGACGAGAACGACGAGCACAACGACGACGACGACGACTTCTACTTCTACTTCGACTTCGTCGACGACGGCGACCATCATATTGAACACGCCCTGGACGTTTTGTTGCGTATTCACTACGACGCCTCGTTGCCACCGTGTTTGACATCGTGTCGTTGGCGTTCTGTGCTCCTTCGCAGCACCCATAAGTGGGGCGGGCGCTGAAGCAGGCTCCCATATGCGCAGACCTGACAACTTTGTCTCTGCAACAAACAGCTCTGACACCCGTGCGAGTCAGGCATCGAAGCCCACGGCCCCTTCCAAGGCCAGCTCCGACGATGGAGAACAACACACCCCAACAAAAACTAAACACAGGAAGCGCTTTCCAACGACTGGCTTCCAAGACGCCGACTTGAACCCGCCCACCAAAACGTCGCCCAGGACACACTTGCGATGAACCGGCGACGACGACGACCAATACTTTGCAGGGGGGCCCTGCGCGCACAGGCGCGCGAGGCCGACCGGAGCCCTGCGCACCGCGGGGGTTGGGCGCCCGAGTTATCCGGGGTAACTCGGGCCTGGGGCAACTCGGGCTTGGATTCTCGAAAAACGAACCCGAGTTAATCAGCCCTGCCTCGAGTTACCCCTGATGCCTTGGGGCTCTGGACGCCCGAATTATCCGGGGTAACCCGGGCCCGGTGCAACTCGGGTTCGGATTCCCGAAAACGAACCCGAGTCAGCCCTGACCCGAGTTACCCATGATGGTTCGGCGCCCCCGCAGGACGAATTCGCGCGCGCGCCGCCCGCGCCAGCGGCTCAGTGCAGCGCCCGCTGCGGCCAGCGGCCCGGCTGCAGCGCGGGGGCGCCCTCGGGGGGAGGGAGGGAGGGATGGAGGGAGGGAGGGCGAGAGGAAGAGGGGAAGGGGCGAGGGAGGAGGAACGGGAGAGGGAGGGAGGACGGAGGAAGGAGGGAGGAGGGAGGGACGGAGGAGGGAAGGGGGGAGGCGGGAGGAGGGAGGGAGGTTGGAGGTAGGTAGGTAGGTAGGTAGGTGTGATCTCATTGAGCTGGCATGCGGAAGCTTCGAACGCAGCTTCTTTCCAGCACGGGGCCACTACCCCAGGGATGGTTCGGAAGCGACCGTGCTGCGACAGTTCTGGGAGTCCAGCCGCCAGCGCTGGAGAGGAAGAAGGGAGGGCTGGCAGAGCCGAGCTTTTCCGGAGGACAATGCGGATTTCGTGGATCGGCGCTGGGACCCCACACCTGACGCGCGAAACGAATCAGGGGTGGAGCAAAGGGCGCTGCCAGGGGGTCCAATTCGAACCCTAGACAATTCCGCTCGGAACCTCGCGACAAATTCAGCTCACCAAGCAGGCTTCTCCTCGAGACCCCGGCCAGAGCGAAGCAGGAGAGGCAACTCAGAGACTCCCCGCGGTGTGGGAGGGGAGGCCAGGCAGGGAGCACCTGCCTGGGTCTCGTCCGATCCTCACTGCG